GTCATTTTCCTTGAGACAACCATCACACTTCAGTATGTGCATACTTGCCATCTGTCACACAGTATTAAAAAGATCCATACTTGAGCGTCGCAACAATTGGCATTTTGTTTTATTTTACTGTGAATATGAGGTGACTGAGAACATAATGACAACTAGTACAGTTTGGTGTTAACTGCCTTAATTTGTGCTGAAGGGCCACTATTGCTTTTCTTTTTCTTTCTCGTTTCTAGATTAATTAATTTTTGTTACAGTTGTTTCTCTTTTTTCTCCCAGTGACACCCTTCTCCCAGCATTATTGTCTATGTCTTTGTTTACGCATACATGTGTATAAGTTCTGTGGCTTCTCTCTTCCCTCCCCACATCTACCTCTTCTGAGGTTTGTCAGTCTGCACCCCACTTCCATGTCTCTGGGTCTATTTTGCTCCTCAGCTTGTTTTATTCATTATATTCCACAAATAAGTGAGATCATGTGGTATTTGTTGATCTCTGATTGGCTTATTTTGCTTAGCATAATACTCTCCAGGTCCCTCCATGTCATCACAAAGGATAAGAGATCTTTCTTTCTTACAGCTGCATAGTACTCCATTGTGTACATGTACTATAGCTTTTTTATACATTTGTCTACTGATGGACACTTGGACTGTTTCCAGATCTTAGCAATTATAAACAGTGCTACTATAAACATAGGGGTGCATATACTCTTTCTGATTGGTGTTTCAGGCTTCTTAGGGTATATTCCTAGAAGTGGAATCACTGGGTCAAATGGCAATTCCATGTTTAATTTTTTGAGGAAACACCATATTGTTTTCCACAGTGGCTGTACCAGTCTGCATTCCCACCAGCAGTACACTACAGTCCCCTTTTCTCCACATCCTCGCCAACACTTATTGTTTGATGATTTGTTGATGGCGGCCATTCTGATAGGTGTGAGGTGATGCCTCATTGTTGTTTTAATTTGCATCTCTCTGATGATTAGTGATGTTGAGCATTTTTTTCATCTGTCTCTTGGCCATTTGTATGTCCTGTTTGGAGAGGTGTCTATTTAGGTCCTCTGCCCAACCATTGCTTTTCCATCATCAATGCAAATGTCAACAAAGTTATTTCAGGGTAAAGAGTAAGATTTGACAAGTTATTCCATACGGACTAGCTCAGTACCACATGTGTTTGCTGCCAAGCATTCATATAAAAAATCATCTTCTTTGATGATTGGTTGGTTCTGATACCAGATGATGACAAGTGAAACAGCAAGTCCAACCCTCACTGTAGATTGTTTCATTTATAAGTCACAGGTACAATTGTACAGGAAAGATCTTAACTCATCTTTGTGTTTGCAGCTAATCTTTCATTCTGCAAAGTGTCTATCTTTGGAAAGAGGCAGTGCAGTGGTTTTCTTTGCTGGCTTCACCCAGCAGGCATTTAGTAGAGTCAACTCTGCAATGCTTTATGGTCTCAGCCTCCTGTGGGATTCTCCAGGCACTGAAGTATGGACATTCACACTATCAAATGCTTCACTTAGTCTTCCATTTCTGATTTGAAAAGCAGTATCAAAAATATTTTGGCTTTTAAGAATTCTCTCATGTCTACATTTAAAAACTCAATATTCTTTTCTTGAAACTTCGAGTAATTGGGCTCAAAGTGACATAACAGCTGACATGATTGTATATATTTTTTAATATTCTGTTGTAGAAAACAATCAGGTATACTCTTGTCATCTAAAATACCGAGGGAATGGTAGACTTTGCCATATTTCTCTCTCTTATTTCCAGTGTCTCCAAATTTCTTTGGACTAGATTGAGCCCTTCCATGAGTTGGAAAACTCTGTGATGTGTCCTTTCTGTGTTTCTCAGTGTTTTAGACTTAGAAATGGCCAGCTCTGGCTGGAGAATGAGGGCCTTACAATCTTCCCTCTTCCTATAAATCATCTACCCTTACAAAGAAGAAAAATATAAAATTATAACTTTTCTATTAAATCATTAATATTGATAATTATCACAAAATTCTGAAATTGTGAGTTTTAGATAAACTTTAAAAATTTAAAAATGTTTCTGGAAAAAAATACAAAACTATTATTAAAACCGAAGGCGTCCAAATATATTTTCTTTCTGTTCTTACACTTAGGCAGAAGGAAAACGTCAGAAGTGGCGAAGAGGGATTTATTGCATGATAACAAGGTTACAGAGATGATCGCAGGCATGGGAAAACTAATTAGTAGGCGCACCGTCGAAGTACTGAAATAATACTAATTAATTTCTATAAATAGCACACCTATGATAAACCTGCTACCTCAAAGCGTTTCTGAAAAGCACAAGAACATAGCAGCATCAGCCATCAGCCATCAGCCATCGAAACAGTGATATCAGGCGCCGTAAAGCCTCCGGAGGGTTCCTCTGCACACATGTGAGAGAAGAAGCATATACAAGGCAGATTCTGACTACTTGTTTTGACTTTTTTTTTCTTTCTTTCTTTTTTTTTTTTATCCTCACCCGAGGACACTTTTCCATTTTTTGTTCAGGTAGAGTGGGAGGGAGAGAGAGGAACAGAGAGAGAGAGAGAAACATCGATGTGAAAGGAACACATCGAGTGGCTGCACAACCGACCAGGGCCGGGGACAAACTGCAACCGAGGTACGTGCCCTTAGCGGGAACCGAACCCGGGTCTCTCAGGACTGCAGGCCGATGCTCTAACCGCTGAACCAAACTGGCCAGGGCTATTTGTTTTGACTTTGAGGACCCCTGGAAGGCGTCCTGGGGAGTCCTGGGCTCCCAACCCGCATTCTGAGCACTGCTGCTGAGGTTATGTTCCTCTATGGAGACATCCCCCCCCCCTTTTATTTACAGCCACATGGCTGTAATAAATCTCTTTACTTAGTTCCCCCTCCACCCTGTTAGTTTTTGTTGTCACACAGAAGATTACCAGAAACAAAATCACTAAGGCCAATTTGGAAGGTGGGGCATCCAAACAGTTGTCTGGATCTTTTCAAAAAGTCCATGTAGTAAGGGGCGGGGAAGGGGGGGAGGATTGTGTAGGATCAGAGACTAGAGACACAGAACAGCCAAAAGCTGTGTGGAATTTTGTGAATCCTGGTTTGAAAACAAACACAGAAAACAAAAAATAAGTTTTTGAACCATAGATACTATTTGAATGTGGAATTGTGGTAGGCAGAGCGAGGATGGTGGGCCAGGTGCAGAAGGTCACCAGGCAGGAAGCCCTGGGTGCCTAGCAAAGGACAACTGTCGGGTGGGACCTCACCCCCGGGTGACCTTTCCTCCTCTAGCATGTCACAGGGCATGCGGTTCAGATCCCCTGACCTTTCCTCCCATCCTGTCACTGACCCCCTTAGGGAAGGAACAAGGTTGCCAGAGATTAGCCTCATTGTAGTTTGTGTTTTCCATAAATTCCCCCTGGGAGAGACACATTCTAATTATTCTTACATCGAAGAAGAGACTGAAATATAGCTCATTAAAGGAACAAGGACGGGCTGAAATTTACAGCCTGCAAACCTTCTGGAAACGGCTTCCGCTGTCTCTTCCTGTGATATGTTCCATCCAGCTGCTGAAATACACGGGCTTCTGGAAATTAAAACCCGCATGGCTCAGCCCTCACCAGTAAATCTGGTGGAACAGATGGTCAGGCGTGAATTGTATACCTCTGCACAAAACCTGGGGATTTTATCGATAGGCTTCACAGCAAGTGTTGGGAATCAGAATGACAGATTCACAGTAGAACTTCCATGCTTATATCCAAACACTATGCTATAGCTTCTTCTTTCGCTATTATTCTAATCAAGCTAGAACTAGTTTGTAAGTCAAATATCATACGTACAAATGTATATGTACTCATTTGGAATTTTTTCTTTATTTAAGCACCAAAGTATGATTAAATGAGTATTTAGTTCCACATCCCAGTTAGATTTTCCAGTGGAGTTTCAGAAACTACATATATATGTATATGTATGTGTATGTGTGCATGCATATGCGTGCGTATGTGTGTATGTATGTATATGTGTGTATGCATATGTGTGTATGCGCATGTGTGTGTATGTATGTATGTGTGTATGTATATGTAATGTGTATGTATATACACACACATACATATATATTATATATTTTTTAAGTCATTGCTGTTTTACATATAAAAGAAGTTTTGTTGGTTTGTGTATTCAACACCATACAGTATTTTTATTTACTGTCAGTGAGGGAAAAGAAGAGGGCAAGAAGAGAATTAACATTTTTCACCATCTACCACAAGTCTGGCTTTTGTCTCCATCCTGTCTGATCTGATCCTTATAACTGTGCGAGGGAGCATCCCCACATCCACACTTTCATCACGTTATCCAGCGCATGCTATCGCGTGTTTATTTGTAAGTCACTAAATATAAAGGGGTTGAACAAGACAGATACTGTAGATACCGTTTCTGTTTTTGTCGTGTTTTGATTTGATGAGGGAAGACAACCAGTAACAAATATCTGATTATCTAATACAGTTGTAGAATGAGATAAAAGCAGGACCTAATCTAGCTCGGGGTGGGGGTGGGGGCTGGGAGAGTAGGAAACTTCCAACATTGTTGAGTGAATGCTTGAAGGTCTGAATGTATCACCAGTACAGCTGCGTTCTAAAGAATGAGTCAGAGTTGGCCCTTAGGAAGGTGTGTGTGTGGGGGGGCATGGGAGCAGGGGACCTGGGAAGGAGATGGAACTGAAATTGACCTGGTGGTAGCAGGCTGCTGAGGGAGAAGCATTTTTTCCCTATTAGAGTTGAGGCATTTAAGTTCACACAGATCAATACAATTGGAATTTGAACTTGGTTCTCTCTAAATCCCAAGTTCTTTCTCCTGAAACATACCTTTTCCCTGTTAGTCAGCAAATCATTTGTTATTGCTTTGATCTACACCTGCAGATTCTTTGATAAAGGCTTTTGCATTTTCATTCAACTATACTGCTCTTTTTGAATGAAAGTAAGTCATTGTTCATGCCTTCAGAATCATCTGTTTTGTTTTTCAGTGTCCCAACATTCCAGAGCCTTCCTGAAGAGATCCTCAGTAAGCTTGCTGACGTCCTTGAAGAGGTAATTGTTTTAAACTCTTGAACCTTTTCCGGTGGGACCTCGCCCATCAATTCTGTGCAATGTGAAGTTACAGGCTGCAGGGAGACCTTTCAAATATGTTAAAGCCTCTGGGATGGTTCTTATTCGGCTCCAATACCAAGCAGCTCAGCACTTCTGACATGTACACACAGTCAGAAATGTGCACATCAACCAGAGAGGGAGAAAACCTTGATTGTAGCAAATGGAATGTCATTTTGACTTCCAAGAATGGGAGCTGGCACCGTTCTATCTCATTTCAGTCAACGTAAAGCAAGAGTGTAGTCATCGCCACTCCGAAGCTGCAAATATAGCAAATTTACAGCAGGAATTAGCAGTTGAGTATATAGTTCATGGGCGCAGAAGCATATTTTACACATCATTATATGCCTGCATGTGAAAGTGTCACTTTCACTCCTCTCTGAACCTATGAAGCATGAAAAATGTTGAAGCAGGAGACGGGTTTTCCACTTGAGGATCCTGAGGATAGGGCCTCTGGGGCTCGTAGGCACGGGGAAGGCGGAGTATCTGGGTGCACCTGCAGCTGAGTGCTTGGAGGGGGTTTTCCACGGGAAACGTGCTCTGGTCTCTTCTCATTTCTCAGTGACCTAGAAAACAAGGTTGTCCACTGAGAATGAGGATGGGGTAGAGGTCTGAGGACGGGAAGAGTGGACGGATGGGACAACACTGATTGCCAGGCATCGTCCGGGCCCCACTTGCTGTTGGAAATCCCACATCTACCCTACACGGGCCAGGGAGAATTTCTTTAAGGCTTGCAGTAGGGGAGAGGGAGAAAACTCAACTCTGCCGGGACAAAAAGGAGGGTGCCTAGGTCATCTGTGTTTGCTAACTGTCCCTTCTGGGGGTTAGGCTCCAACATTCCCACGGAGATTGGGAGATGAGCCCCAGCTCCTTCTGTGGTTACGTTTGTAAGGAAGAGCCCCTAGGTTCTGGAGAACGGAGCTGTACGACTGGCAGAGGCTGGAGAAGCTTTGCATCTCAAAGAGGCAGATGAAGCGCTTGCAAGTGGGAACTTTCTAAAGTAAATGCTCTAAGAAAAGGAAGACCAGGAACCTAGAGTCAGGAAGAAGCCTGTCTAAAGTTTAGTCAAAGAGAGAGAGAGAGAGAGAGAGAGAGAGAGAGAGAGAGAGAGAGAGTGTGTGTGTGTGTGTGTGTCTCTCTCTCTCTCTCAGCCCCATTTGTTTTGCTGGATTCAGGTTCCAAGCAGGCGGAGCACTGGATTTAACCAGGAGTGTTATTTTGCTGAGAAAAAATGAGTGGTGGAGGGAGGCACTGGGCAGCTGAAGGTGCAGGTGGAGAAAGGATTATAATGATTGACCTTGGAATTTAACCTGGGCAAGGAGAAGAGCCTTGGAAGGAGCAAGGGCCAGTGAGAGAGTGTAGGATCAATGGATTTTAGCCTCTTGACCTTGAAGTTTTAGAGTTGTGCTATAATCGGGGTGAACTAGACACACACTGAAAATGTTTTTGTCTCCAGGTAGTAACTGTGCCAGTAAATCTATAGTCTGTAGAACTGCAAAGGTTCATGTACACAGTCTTAGTTTGAGCCTTATCAGAGTGAGCTTCCCTATGATTTATTGATCTCCTCCTCTTATATCTGAACTCAGAGTAAAGCAGAAGTCACACTTGATTCCTACATTCAAGTATAAAAAATTCATAAAAAGAAATCCTGGCTGTATTTCTCTTGGAATGCGCCAACCATTGTACCTGAAACCTCTGTAGATAGAAAACTGCTTTTCCCAGTTCCTTTGCTTTTCTTGTTGAATACACTTGAATGACCATTTTTCTTTTTACTTTTATACAAACAAACAAAATTAAAGTACAAGTTTACTAGTTTCAATCAAGGTCATCAAAAAAAAAAAAAAAAAGTAAGAAATCCTTTAATCATTTCTTTCTATTCCACAGCTGTGAGAGCATTTGCTCTGGTTTGCAAAAAACAATAGTGATAGCTCTACAAAGAATTCTGACCAAAGAAATATTTTAGTATCTTATGTCAGATTTCCTAATCAAAAGATGCCTTAATTGATGTTCGGATTCCATGAGCCACAGTACAGTCTATACCAACAGCACATGAAAATGAAAACAGATGATTATGTGGCCACACATGTGTTTTGAAGACATGAAAATGAACTAAATAAACCAAATGTGAAGTAGACAGATAAATATACTACCCGATGCATGAAAGTGCTCAACTCAAGTTGAATAAACAAGCACAATGAGAAATTAGATGAAATTATGTATCAGATAGAGTGAAGCAAATTTGAAAGAGCAAAAGCATCACCAATGTGACATAACATTGAAGAAAGTGGGTTTGCATGATAATTGGTTTGTCTTTCTTTCTACAAATAACCTCAAGAAGACGAAAGAATCCCCGATTATTGGGAAAGACAAGCGGTATCATTGTAGCCTTCAACAAAGAAGTTTGCAGCCTTGTTTGTTTGACAAGCATTTGTGGAGCACCTAGTGCCAGCAATTGCTCCAAGCTCTGGGGACTCAGGGTCCTGTTGTCCGGTAGCATATGTTTCTGTGGAGGGCAGAGATGAGAAGTTTGTAAGGAAAATAGCATCCAGTGACGCAGCCACTCTGTACCGCGTTACTAATGGAGGCCTCTCTGCTGAGGTGGTCTTTAAGCTGAGATCTGAATGCAGATATGGGCTGGATATGTCCTGAGCAGAGGGAAGAACACGCATTAGATACTAAAGTAGGAATAAGGTTGCTGTCCTTAAGGAACAGAAAGAGAAAAGTAGGCAAGGCCAAAGGACTTTGCCAGTCATGCTTAGGAGTTTGATTTTCATTCTAAACACAATGGGAAGATTTGGAGGTGCTTAGCTGGTCAAGTGACATGATCAAAGTTGTGTTAGTATTTCTGGCTAGTAGGAGAAGAATGGATTATAGAGGGACAGACCAATTAGAAGGTGACAGCAAAGTAATCCAGGTGAGGATGGATGGTTTATGTGTAGATTTACTTTCTTATTGACTATTTCATTCCTTATATTTATTATAAAATAATACTTCCTGCATTAAAAAAAAATAAAGACTAGGGAGAGGGGAGGCAGGAATGAGAGAAATGAAGTATAACTGGATAGAAAGGAATAAACACAATGTTATTGGTATGATAAGTTGATGTAGGAGGGTACATGGGACTAGAGGATACATGGATGATACTTGGGGCATCCGATTCTGGAGCTGAAAAAAAAGATGTTCTAGGAGACACTGTTGTCAGCGCTGACCCCAACCCCTACCTGGGCCCCTTTGTAATTTCTAGCACGGATGTATTCATTTTTGTATTCCTTCCTATAAAGTTATACATGTAATGCCCTTTCATCCCCTTTCTTTATATTACTAAGTAGAAATATTCCTTGGTATATTGACTCTCTCAAGCCTTTTTCAGGAACTTATAACAGTTGTCTCTAGCCCCTTTGAGAAGTGTGTATATCTGTAGATATGAAGAGGTTCTCGGTGAAAGGTTTTCTAGATCAAGCACATATCCTAATATTTTCCTAGGTTGTGTTTTGCAAGACACATTGAAACAATTACTTGATTCTCTAACTAGTTACCTTCATTGTCACCGTAGTGTGTTCTTATCTCCTATCTGCTCAAGTTTAAATATATATCAGGTAATTTAGGACCTCTAGATTTGGCTTGCTGGAGAACTCATTTTGCAGTTTGTAAAATAAGTTACAAGAGAAATTTTAGGTACACATAGGGAATAGCAAGTTTTGACTTTATAAACTGGTTTCATTAACTTCTATCCTTTACATTATAGTAAAATCTGTATTAAATTAGTCACATATTTTGAGAACGTAGAAAGTACCTAGAGTATAAATGAAAAGAACTATGAAATTGTAAGATAAGATCTAACCTCTCCTTTCCTACTATAACAACCTATCACAGTTTCTTTCTTCCTTTATGTACACAATTAGTCACTATAGTTGAATTACATTTTTCAAATGGATGAAATAACCCCTAGTTAATCACCATCTGAGAAAAAGCTCCCTTTCATGATTAGCTACCCAAGCACAGTGGAGAAAAGTCACTGTGAATAAACTCTACCTAATATGTATCCAAATATTGGGACTGTCCTGGCATCTTCAAAGAAATGGACAAATAAAAAAATTTTCTAACACAGAAGAGGAAGAGAGACTAATCTGGTATCATGTCACAAAGAAAGCTTGAAAATTAATGTGGGTAGGGATTGTGCTTTACCAGTGAGGGTGAAGAGGTTTAGGTAACTCAAGGAAAACTATACCTTATTGAAAATGCCAGATCAAGGAACAAATAAAGCCAACAGATTCACTTCTCACCGCTTGCTATAGCCTACTTTTCCTTTATGTGAACAGAATGGGGCATGGTCTAGCTTTAAATATCCTGATTTTTTCAGTGGAAAACAAACCATATCAGAAGCACTGCTTTACTTATATTGAAATATATATTTAAATGTTTTCTTTCCCTTTATTGATCTTAGAGAGAGAGGAAGTGAAAGGGAGAGAGAGATAGAAACATCGATGAGAGAGAATATTGATTGGCCACCTCCCGCATGCCTCCCACTGGGGACCAGGCCCAGAACCTGGGCATGTGCCCTGACCGAGAATCAAACCGGCGACCTCTTGGTGCATGGGTCCATGCTCAACCACGGAGCCACACTGACCGGACTGAAATATATTTTTGTCCAGTTTTCTCATTAAAACAGAATATGATTATCTTAGAGTTAAAAACATAAAAAACATAAAAAACCTCTCGGCTTTGCCAGCTTTTAAAGAGCTCTCTACCTATGGGTCAGCAACTTTGTATGATTGGGTCTTTGACACATTTGAGCCTAAATAATGCGCTGATTTGTATTCCTGGGTGGTGCATTTATTTATGTTTTTGCTTATTGGCTATTTAAGCCATGATGGCCCTGATGAGGTCTTAGACAAATAACATTCTTCAGACTTCTTGAATTCTTAAGAGGGACATGATGAGGA